CAGAAAGAAAACGAGAGCGCGTGCCAAGTACAGTCTCGTTATCGAGTCTCTCACAGCTGAGAGAGAGTTGCTGCATCTCGCGAACATCGCTGGCCCGCGAACAAAACATCTGCGTGATGACGGATGGCGAGTCGAGAGTGTGCAGAGAACGTTCCTCTCTCCCTCAGCAACGCGATCGTGGTGTGCTTGCAGGGAAAGATCGCTCCATCAAAAGTATCGTTTCGGTCGACTTTTTGCCGCGCGTAAATGCACTGCCTCTGCCGATGCAACATCGGGGGTTGGGGGTGGGGTGGGTGGGGGGATGCTAACATTCCGTGTAGGAATATAAATACCATCTAAACATAATGTGGTAACACGATTGGACCGGGGGAGCTGTCGATGTCTGTCACATGGTAAAACAAGATGCCCCACCGTCACGGCGTATGCAAACTTCACGAATACCACAAAAAATCCGACGGATGTTAAGAGATCACACGACTGTATGAATGTCTGGCTGTTTTTGATTATGTACACAATGAAATTAAATGTGCAATTCTATCGATATACAAATGGAGAAAGTTGTCTCTAGCCTTCTAAAGTAAGGTGCCATAGGGAAATACATTTGTGGGCAGTCCTGTTTATGTGTAGATATAAACCCAAATATGCAGCTAGGACCTTCTAAAATAAGGTAGGCTCAGTACCTACGGTGGCAAAATGGTCAAGGTATACTAGGAATTAATGCAGAATATTACTCAGGGCCGATCCAGTGGCATATATAGGGATTGATGAACGACAGGTTAAATATAAAACTTGTGGGCCCTTCCAAATCAGACTATGGTAGTGAAAGTACTTGACTTACTAATTAGTACTCTAGGCATTTCATGCATTCACTAATAACCACACACTGACACAGTAAAAACGACAATGCTGGCACCACGGCGTTGATTACATGTAGTTTGTGACAATAAGCACCCTGCGTGAGCGTACAGATTAGCTTTACCACGACCCACTACTACTAAGTACTGTCTAGCCCTACGGCTACTACTATAATATCACTGAACTCTGCCACGCTGTAAAGTTTATACTGACTAAAACACAACCTCATGGCATACCTCTTCTAGGGTAGGATTACATGATATAACATGTAGAATACACTACGTCACTGCAGCGCCCCCTACCGACCACGTCACTGCAGCGCCCTCTACCAACTACGTCACTGCAGCGCCCCCTAGCGACCACGTCGCACAGGCGCCGCCTTGCGAGTTTTCGTCGCTGAAATGCAAAGACCGATAACATCTGTCTCGCAGATTTGAAACTTCTTCGAATTTTTGCCCCAGGCTTGGCGCTCGCGGCAAACCTAGAACACGTGTGAGTGCCGGGCAGCATACAGCAGACATGGGCACGGCCGCGAGAAAGAGAGCCGGTACATACCAACACAAGACAGCAGCAGCAGCAGCAGCAGCAGCAGCAGCAGCAGCAGCAGCAGTAAGAACAACAGTAAATAACATCGACCAACCAGTGCCGCAGGACGACTCGGAGGAGACCAGGAGATGATAAATATTGACAACGCTGAACAACAGTGAACAACAGTGAACAAATTGAACAACAATTGCTAGCAGACGATTCAGGGATGATACTGTAGTGATAAACAGTGACAAAACTAAACAACAGTAAACAACACTGAACAACCATTACCGGGAGGCGATTAGAGGAGGATGACGCGGTGACAAATATCGCCAACACTGAACAACATTGAACAACACTGAAAAACCATCATCGGGAGACGATTAGAGAAGGATGATGCCGTGGCATATATAGACAACACTTATGAACAACACTGAACATATATGAAAAACATTGAACAACACTGAACAATCACAGCATTGAGAGACGTAGCGATAAACATCGAAAATATTCGAGTCGGGCGAAAAGACTTCGGGTTTTCGCTGATGGATCTCGTCGTTTTAGCGATCGCTTTTCGTTTCATTCGTAAAGCCGCGCGACGACATTTAGACGGAGTTTGTAAACACGCCGTTAGGCCGCCGATGAAAGCTTCGCTCGCTCGGCGCGAAACCCGAGCCAGCCTTTTAGGCGCAGCTAGACACATGCACATATCTCTCGTTTTCTAAATTCTCCACGCACACGCACGCAGACGCGCACGCACCTACGCACGCATGCACTCACGCGCACACACACAAAAACAGACGTGCACGCACGTACGCACCGAGACACGCATGCGTGCACGCGCACACGCACACACACAAAACAGACGCGTGCACGCACGCAAGCACGTACTCACTCAGTGCATACTCATACGTACTAATATCAGGATCAAAATAACACGTAACGTATGATTTTACTTCTGCTATTACAAGTCAATTAATGAAGCGGTAATAACTAACATCTCCTCTCTTAGAGTGGTCACGAATTCAACAGATCCGATAAGATGCATCAATTAGGAAGCCATTCAAGCGTGGCCTAATCTTAACCGGGTAGCAAGCAACGCGGGCCGCATCTATGCTGCCCTCCTTGACACCGTCCGCCCCCGCAGCGACCCACTATGGCTGCCCTCACTCAGCATCCTCCCACCAACACTCCACATGATTTACGTGTGGCATGCATTACTAGGCTCTTTCATCCAGGTCACGAGTGAAGCCACGCAGCAGTGAGGACCGCCGGAGAGGAGGAAGAAAACGATGCCGGTGCGGGGGGAGGGGGGGACTCACGACGCGTAGCTCGAGACACAGACAGGCGGCCGCCCGGCCCGCCTTCCCGCTCGCTGGGAGAGCACTTGGCTCCGGCGGCGTATCGCCATGGCAATCTCGTCCCGTCCTAGATTGACGATCGCGTGCGGTAACGAGCGTCGCCGCCGGTCGCGGGATGCTGCCGATCTGAGCGTCGTCACGGCGATGCAAGAGTATCAAGAGAATCGCGAGAAGCGGCCCGGGTCAAGAGGGATGAGCGCGCGCGGAGGGAGCATTCACTCACTCGTCTCAGTGTGTGCGTGCGGCGGCATCTTGCCACGCGTGCGATTATCGGACGTACAGTAAAGAAAAACAAATACAGCTATCTCAGTTATCTCCACTCGCACATTCGACGGACGGTAGTAGCGATTCCCTAACGACCCCCTGCCCAGACAGTGTAGAGAAGGAGAGAGAGAAAGAGATAGAGAGAGAGAGAGAGAGATAGAGAGAGACAGAAAGAAAACGAGAGCGCGTGCCAAGTACAGTCTCGTTATCGAGTCTCTCACAGCTGAGAGAGAGTTGCTGCATCTCGCGAACATCGCTGGCCCGCGAACAAAACATCTGCGTGATGACGGATGGCGAGTCGAGAGTGTGCAGAGAACGTTCCTCTCTCCCTCAGCAACGCGATCGTGGTGTGCTTGCAGGGAAAGATCGCTCCATCAAAAGTATCGTTTCGGTCGACTTTTTGCCGCGCGTAAATGCACTGCCTCTGCCGATGCAACATCGGGGGTTGGGGGTGGGGTGGGTGGGGGGATGCTAACATTCCGTGTAGGAATATAAATACCATCTAAACATAATGTGGTAACACGATTGGACCGAGGGAGCTGTCGATGTCTGTCACATGGTAAAACAAGATGCCCCACCGTCACGGCATATGCAAACTTCACGAATACCACAAAAAATCCGACGGATGTTAAGAGATCACACGACTGTATGAATGTCTGGCTGTTTTTGATTATGTACACAATGAAATTAAATGTGCAATTCTATCGATATACAAATGGAGAAAGTTGTCTCTAGCCTTCTAAAGTAAGGTGCCATAGGGAAAAACATTTGTGGGTAGTCCTGTTTATGTGTAGATATAAACCCAAATATGCAGCTAGGACCTTCTAAAATAAGGTAGGCTCAGTACCTACGGTGGCAAAATGGTCAAGGTATACTAGGAATTAATGCAGAATATTACTCAGGGCCGATCCCGTGGCATATATAGGGATTGATGAACGACAGGTTAACTATAAAACTTGTGGGCCCTTCCAAATCAGACTATGGTAGTGAAAGTACTTGACTTACTAATTAGTACTCTAGGCATTTCACGCATTCACTAATAACCACACACTGACACAGTAAAAACGACAATGCTGGCACCACGGCGTTGATTACATGTAGTTTGTGACAATAAGCACCCTGCGTGAGCGTACAGATTAGCTTTACCATGACCCACTACTACTATGTACTGTCTAGCCCTACGGCTACTACTATAATATCACTGAACTCTGCCACGCTGTAAAGTTTATACTGACTAAAACACAACCTCATGGCATACCTCTTCTAGGGTAGGATTACATGATATAACATGTAGGGTACTTTAGTGAAAGTCCTACGCGCTACAGTACACTTAGCTCTAGTACTATAACCCGCGGATAGCTGCCGCAGCTATCCGCGGGCTATAGTATTAGCGCTACAGTACACTGTACAGTGTACTGACTACTGTAGTCTGTACTGACTAACTAGTCTCTGACTCTGTGCAATGCACTGTAAATGTAATCTGTATATATTTGTGGGAATGCCGAAATACAGAAACTAATGACGTACCGGTACTGTGTTCATTTCTAATAGTTACATGTATACAGTAAATGAACATATAATATAACCAATCATCTTACCATTGAAATGCAATGAGAAATCTCACACTGTTAAGTAATATGTACTCTCACTGTTTATGACAAACACTGATTTTAGTGATAAGCAAAACAACGGCAAACACAAACCTGAGAATCCTTCTACTTGCGACATCTTTCAGCAGGCTTGATTGAATCCACCACATAATAAGACCACGGGCTCACAGAATCTGCACATTACGGATCAAATTTTCACGCCTAGTAAACTTTTATTGCACTTTCCCTGTAGTTTATGCAAAGTTTTAATCCTCTACTCGGATGGCTGTTGGGTACTATGATGACGTCACGGAAACTGCGTAGTTGCGATTTCCTGCCGCAGCGTGATGCTACCTGCTACACATACTCTGCACACACGCACACGTACCATGGCGATGAACGTAAACAAATCGCTATGACTAGAGACGTAATACCCGTGGCTTTTCCCTTGCTACACGGGACAAACAACATATCAATGGATGAAAACTGACTTCAGCATGTGCTACAGCTTACAAAGAAGAACTGAACTAAAAACGTACGGCTAAAGGTTGAGCTATTCGGACGAAAACCAAGCCGAAGTTAGGGTGGCTATTTCACTCTTGGTCACTGACTGATTCTGAATCTCACATATGATATATAAATCTCACTCTCAATAAGGCTAAGCTTGTTCACTGTTCAGTCCAAGACACGAAATGAGCTCTCCTTTAGTAAGTCTCAAGAAAAGACAGTCATCTTTACCAATTAGGTAAGTTTTACTTGTAGTGAAAGATACTGTTACTACTACTAGTACTAGTAACTATAGAGTAGTAGTAGTACTATAGCCCGCGGATCGCTGCCGCAGGGCTATAGCACATTCTGCCATAGATGTAATCTAAGCAAATGGTCCAACTGATGTGACCAAAAATATATCCCCAAAACGTAAAATGATCGGGCTTTTTAACACTTATCTATCAACATGGACATCTCACCTATCTTTTTGAACACTTCCACAACTTTACACCAGGTATTTATGCTGTTATTCCTCAAAGTCTTAGCACTACTGGTGTTTTGTTTTCAAATGCGGTTGCTCTGCTTATGTGTGCACGCGTGACTCTTCAGTGCTAAGACTTTGAGGAATAACAGCATAAATACCTGGTGTAAAGTTGTGGAAGTGTTCAAAAAGATAGGTGAGATGTCCATGTTGATAGATAAGTGTTAAAAAGCCCGATCATTTTACGTTTTGGGGATAAATTTTTGGTCACATCAGTTGGACCATTTGCTTAGATTACATCTATGGCAGAATGTGCTATAGCCCTGCGGCAGCGATCCGCGGGCTATAGTACTAGAGCTATAGTACTACTACTAGTGATTATTGATTGATAAATCATGACAATTACGTGCAGGCAGCTGTCTACTTTTTAGAACCCCATTCCCCAGTTCAGTCGACACATAACTACGTGCACTGTGTCATTACGGATTGTGGGTCAGTAAAGTAGACTTGACCCTGTATGCTTGTGGCCGTACTTGCGTAACAACTGTAATATGTCTAATGGATCGTAGTACACTGCGATTACATGATTGTGTAGCGTTTCGTGTCTCCCGGCGACACCCGATGGCGCCACCGGTCGACACTTAGTGACTAGCACACAACCTTAGGTCTTTCACTCAGCTGTTGTGCCCGGAGGCGTTGAACGGGCAGTATCGTCGCCACCCGGACCCCGCTAGCCACTCGAGCGCCCCAGTGCTACTGCGCTCCCGCAATAACCTGTTCCGCCGTGTTCCGGTTCGGTGCGTCGTGGAGTTAGTTAACCATGCCAGACGAGGGGCGACACACACCACAGACACCACAACGGGGTAACCCCACCCCTGCCTGCCGGCCTTACGTTACGTTGAATAACAAGTGCATACCCAGCTAGGGTAAGCACAGAGGTTAAACAAATAGAATGAACTATGAACGCAGCCGGGCAAAGGCCTACAGTAACCGGCGGCCTCTTCTCCCGTGCAGCCGTGCACGACAGTTAATACTTCTCAATACCCGTACTCTAGTCTAGGAATATTAAACCAACCTATTTAATATTCGACTACTACTAGTACTGTATTATTTACTCGCCCCACAACAACAACAGGACAATACGACAGTGCCTACTCACCAATTAACCGACGCGCCTGTCTCTCTCACCCCTGAGGCAAGGCACACGCCAAACACCCGTGACCATACAGTACCTCGGGTACTCGTATGCTAACTGTCACCATACCCGCCACACACACAGCTCACAGGCCACTCCACACCATGCATAAGCACGGAGTGAACGCGACTACACATACTACCTGACGAGTCCTCCCTCACTCGGCTACCGGGACGAACTGAACTACAAGTTCTCCCTCAACCGATTCCCGAGCCGAACTGCGTACCGTGTCTCCACACGGCACTACCCTAGTTGTTCACACGGCCCGCGCCACTCACGGCCGCTAGAGGGGGTGGCTAACCCAACATAACTGCCCCAATGTAGGGACTCGACTATCTACATCGTTAATTGATGAGCCGGCAAAACACCACGAAAACGCACACTATAATAAACAGCAGACATCACAAATAATTATACAATCACAAACACGGATCACCCACACTCCGGTTCCCAGGGAGCCACCCTGCTAGGAACCCGAGGGTCCGGTGCCACCGCTACATAAGATAATCATAAGGATTGATAATCTTATATGATTGGAAAGTGATTGATAGTATTAGTAATGAAATTGTTACACTGTCATCACAGACAGCCGTATTTAAAAATGCTTTCAGTTTCATGCATGTGTGAAGTAATATTGCATGAATCAAAGATCAAGATTGGAAAATCGAATGCGTACAAAGTGGTTGTATCAATTATTTTATTAGGGATGGAAAGGGAAGAAACGTACCTTTTCGATCATGTAAACACACCATCTACCCGACTGGTAAATATAAATAAGTTTTTTTTGGCATGTTCAGAAACACATCATGTGATGCACTTCTCCTATGGTTATGGTTCCCATGCTATATATATATATGTTTTCCGTCATTTACCGAATCTGTGTTCCCAGTACCTGTCCTTTTACATCTCTTAGCCGAGACTGCAACAAGTCGCACAGCTCCTCAGATATCAAACACTGCCCCAAATACAAAGCCCAAAACTGCAGCAAGGGTAGGAGAAGTGATGGCGTTGGCAAGACAAGCAAGTGAACAAGGTAATCACAGTGTATATATACTAACGCTCATAGGGTCTATGTCCCCCAGGGTACTGCCGGAACGTACCCTGGTAACTATCTAGCTGATATGGTTAGGTTTAGGGTTAGAGTTAGAGTTAGGGTTAGGGAGTAGGCGTGGGCGACTCCCTAGACTCGTTAGTGGAGTAGACGAGGTACGGTCCGGCATATTAGATAGTAGTATTTAGTACCAGGGTACGTTCCGGCAGTACCCTGGGGGATATAGACCCTATCAGCTATACTAACGATGAGTTGCGTAGGAACTAGCTATTCCCACACATCATGCATGAACTTGCAGGCTTTTGTGCAGTATTCACATGGCTATGGATATAGATGTGCTAATATATATTGCATACAAAGGTGTGCATACATTCATTTCATGCATGTTTTATAAAGTTCCAAATGATATGCAACTGATGAAGGCCATGATGAAGAGGCTGGGAGAATTGGAATCCAGACTTCAATCTCAAAGTAGAGATATTGTAGAAAAGGTACTAACTAGTTTAAAACGCCTAGATATGTGTGTAATATGTGACAATACTGTCACATGAAATGAAAAGCACATGGAATGATACACACGTAGAATGTCAGTGCTTAATTGTTTTAGCTGAGTGTGCTTTGTCTAATATATAAAGAAAGAAGTCTGCGTATTTTGTTTTATTTTGCTATAAGCTGAATGTTGTAGTCAAGCTATGCAATGATGTTTGATTCTTAGTTTGTGCCAGTGCGCTATTACTTCATATTGTAGGATGCGAAAATCAATTCACTGGAAGAAAAAATAACGGCTGCAGGACGACCTAAAGGTATGTAGTTGATAAACATCGAATTGATAAGTGAATTCTACTTGGAAACTTGTAACATTCAGCGTTAATGTCAGCATTGATTTATATCGAACTCCTTTGTGTTAGTATTACGTTGATAAGTGAAGCCAGCATGGTGAGATTGAAGCAATGCACGCTACATCGCTGTGATTAATCGAAATGAAACACGACATATCGGCCGAAAAACTGACAGGTAAAATGACAGCTGGCAAGATCGAATGAGAGATTACCGGTGAAGCGTGTAAGAGAGACAGACAGACATGCAAGTATGCACACACTGTACACAGACATAGACATAGATAGATGACAAAACAGCAGCAGATAAGAAGCCAAACAGGCAGACATTGAGACAGACTCTAATATTGTCCCCGTGGCTTCACTTCTCACCGTCTATCATCCACAGCCTCTTCCTCGTCTAAAATCATCTCGGCTCTCGAGAAAAAGTGCGCCTTGCTACAACACCACGTGTCAGAGATGGAAGCGTTCCTTAATGACTACGGAATGATATGGGTGGGCGACGAGGCACACGACAGCACAGACGAAGAGGAGGAAGAGGAGGAGGAGGCAAAAAAGACACCTGTTCGTTGCCAGGGACGCCCCTGGAACCAAGGTAGGTGCAAGGGTTCGTCTGTAGTGAGTCTGTCTGGGTCAAACAGCCTTGCAATCGTGAAAGATTCATGCGCATTAGGATCCGTATGACTTATTCATGAGAGACGATCGCGGGCGGCCCCCCTCCCTCGATTACGAACTCATCAATGTTGCACGAACACGTTGCAGCATCGTCGGCGGGGACGGCGGCATTTCGAGTCGATTACGACCTCATCCTCCGCAACGTCGACGACCTGAACGTGTTGGCGGGCGACGGAGTGTCGAAGGTGCAGCAGACCGAGACCGGCAGCAACGATTCTAAGGTAAAGGTGGTGCGATGAACTTAATGAGTAGGCAGATGCGAGACTTAGGGTAGTGGGTGCTGAGACTTTACAGGTAGGCTGGTGCGCACTTAGGTTAGGTGGTGTGCCTACTTAGGGTAGTGGTGACGTCGACTTAGTAGGTGCGGTGCGAGCACTTAGGGGAGGTGGTGCGCGACTTAGGAGGTGGTGCGCGACTTAAGGGTAAGGTGGGTGCGCGACCTTAGGGTAGCGTGGGTGCGTAGACTTAAGGTCAGGTGGGTGCGCGATTCTTTAGGGTAACGGTGGGTGGCGAGACTATAATGTAGGCAGATTCTAGACTTTAGGGTAAGTTGGTGCGAGTACTTAGGTGGTGGGCGAGACTTAGGGTAACGATGGTGATGCGCGACCTTAGGGTTACGTGCGTGCGCGGACTTAACGGGTAGTGTGCGCCGACTTGGATAAGCAGATGCGCCGACCTTAGAGTTGCGAACTCTGGGGTAACGTGGGTGCCGGCGACTTAGGGAGGTGGGTGCGCGACGTTGGTCAGGTAGGGGTACGAGACTTATGGAAGGGCAGATGCGAGACTTAGGTAGGTGGGTTGCGAGACGTTATGGTCAGCAGATGCGAGACTTAGGTAGGTGGTGCGAGACTTAGGGTATGGTGCGAGACTTAGGGTAGGTGGGTGCGCGACTTAGGGTAGGTGGGGTGCGCGACTTAGGGGTAGGTGGGTCGCGACTTAGGGAAACGAGAATGCGCGACCTTAGGTAGGTGGGTGCGAGACATTAGGGTAGCGTGGTGCGCGACTTAGGGTAGGTGGCGCGACTTAGGGTAGGTGCGTGCGCGACTTTTAGGGTACTGGTGCCGCGACTTAGGTAGGCAGATCGAACTTAGGGTAGGCGGAGATGCGTGACTTTAGGTAGGTGGTGCCGAGACTTAAGGGTATGGTGGTCGAGACTTAGGTAAGGGGTGCGAGACTAGGTAGGCTGATGCGAGAACTGTAAGTGTAGGTTGGTGCGCAAACTTTAGGGTAGTGGGTGCGAAATAGGGTAGGTGTTCGAGACTTAGGTACGGGCAGGTACTGCGCGACTTTAGGGTAGGTGGGCGCGCGACTTTAGGGTATGGCCAGAAATGCGCGACTTAGGAGTGGGTGCGGCGAACTTAGGCTAGCAGATGCGCGACTTAGGTAGGGGTGCGCGAGCATTAGTATGTGGTGTGCGAGACTTAGGGTAGGCAGAATGCGCGACTTAGGTAAGGTTGGCGGCGGACTTAGGTATGCGCAGATCGGCGACTTAGGGTACTGTCGCGCTGGACTTACGGGTAGGCCAGGATGCGGCGAGCTTTAAGGTAGGTGGGTGTCGCGACTAGGGTAGGTGGGTGCGACGACTAGGGAGGTGGTGCTGAGACTGTAAGCTGTAGGGGGGTGCGAGACGGTAGGTAGGTGGCGTGCGAGACTTAGGGTAGCAGATGCGCTGATTCTTAAGGAGGTGGCGTGCAGGACTTAGGCTAGTTGGGGTTGCGCGATCTTAGGGTAGTGGGTTGCGAGACGTTAGGTCAGGACAGATGCGCGACTAGGGGTAGGTGCTGCGCGACTTACGGTAGGTGGTGCAGACTAGGGTAGGCTGGGTGCGAGCTTAGGGTATGGGTGTCGACTTAGTGGCTAGGTGGAGTGCGAGACTTCGGGTAGGTGGTGCGCGACTTAGGGAGGTGGTGCGCGAACTTAGGGTAGGTGGGTGCGAGACTTAGGGTAGGTGGGTGCGCGACTTAGGGTAGGTGGGTGCGAGACTTAGGGTAGGTGGGTGCGCGACTTAGGGTAGGTGGGTCGCCGACTTACGCGTAGGCAGATGCCGCGAACTCTGAGGGTATGAGTGTCTCGAAACTTAGGGATAGGTGTGTGCGAGACTGTAATAGTTAGGTGGATGCGCGAACTAGGGTACGGTGGTGCAGACTTTAAGTAGTGGGTGCGGCGACATTAGGTAGTGGGTGCGCTCTTAAGGGGATAGTGGTGGTGCGAGACTTAAGTAGCCAGAATGCGCAAGACTTAGGGTAGTTGGGGCGCGACTTAGGGTAGGGGGTGCGGCGACTTATGGTAGGACAGACGATTGCGTCGACTATAGGGTAAGGTGGTTGCCCGAACTTAGGGTACGGTGGTGCGCGAGCTCGGGTAAGGGTGGTTGCGGCGACTTAGGGTAGTGGTGCGGAGACCTTTAAGGTAGGTGGGTGTCGAGACTTTAGGCGGTAGGTGGGTGCGCGATCTTAGCGGTAGGTGGGGGGCGAGACTTAGGTAGGTGGTGCGCGACTTAGGTTAGCAAGATGCGCTAGCTTAGGGAGTGGGTGCGGCACTTTAGGGTAGGTGGCGCCGATCTTAGGTAGGTGGGGCCGAGAACTTAGGTAGGTGGTGCAGACTTATGCGTATGGCAGATCGCGACTGTAGGGTAGGGCAGATGCCCGAACTTGGGTAGAGTGGGTGCGCGACTTAGGTAGGCAGAGTGTCGCGACTTAGGGTTAGGCAGATGCGGCTGAGTCTATGGGTAGGTGCGGTGCTGCCGACTTAGGGTAGGTTGGGTGCGCTGACTGAGGGTAGGTGGTCGGAGACCTTAGGTAGCTGGGTGCGAGAACTTAGGTCAGGTGGCGCGAGCACAGGCGAGGCAGATTGCCGCGACTTAGGGTTAGGTGCGTGCGAGACTTAGGGCTAGGGCAGATGCGCAACTTAGGGTATGTGCGCCGCGACTTAGGGTACGGCAGATGCGCCGGACGCTAGGTAGGTGGGTGCGCGACTTAGGGTAGGTGGGTGCGCGACTTAGGGTAGGCAGATGCGCGACTTAGGGTAGGTGGGCGCGCGACTTAGGGTAGGCAGATGCGCGACTTAGGGTAGTGGGTGCGACTAGGTAGTGGGTGCGTGAGAACTTAGTAGCCAATAATTTGCGCGACTTAGGGTAGGTGGGTGCGCGACTTAGGGTAGGTGGGTGCGAGACTTAGGGTAGCGTTGGTGGGCGCGACCGTAGGTACGGTGGGTGCGCAGACTTTATGGGTAAGGTGGTGTGCGCGACTTAGGGTAAGGGTTCGCCGACTAGGGTAAGGTGGGTGCGAGACGTTGTAGGAGGTGTCGCAACTTAGGGTAGGTGGCGCCGCGAACTTAGTGTAATGGTGGGTGTTGAGACCTTAGGGTTAGGTGGGCGCGCAACTATGGGGTTTTAGGTGGGTTGCGAAGAACTTAAGGTAGGTGGGGCGCGCGACCTTTAGGGTAGGGGGTGCGAGACTTGAAGTAGGTGGGTGCGCGACATTAGGGTAGGTGGTGCGAAGACATTAGGGTAGGATGGTGCGCGACTTTAGGTTAGCAGATCGCGATCTTGGTAGGTGGGCCGCGACTTAGAGTAGGTGGGCGCCGCGACTTAGGTAGTGGGTGCGAGACTTAGGCGATAGGTTGGGTGCGAGACTTAGGTAGGATGGGACTGCGCAGTTATGGGTACGTGGGTGCGGACTTAGGGAGGTGGGTGCAGACTTAGGGTAACAGATGCGCGACTTAAGGTAGGTGGTGCGGACTTAGGGTAAGTGGTGCGCGACTTAGGTACGGCAGATGCGGCGACTTAGTGTAGTGGTGGGTGCGCGACTAAGGGTGGTGGGCGCCGAGCTGTAAGGGTAGGTGGGTGCGGCGAAACTAGGGTAAGGTCAGATCCGAGCTTAGGGTATGGCTGGGGCGCGACTTAGGGTATGGTGGGGTGCGCGACTTAAGGGTTAGGGGTGGCGCGATCTTATGGGTAGGTGGTGGCGCGGACTTAGGGTCTAGGTGGGCTGCTGCGAGCTTAGGGTAGGGTCAGAATGCGCGACATTAGGTAGGTGGGATGCGCGACTTAAGGGTAGGTGGGCGCGCGAACTTAGGGTAGGTGGGTGCGCGACTTAGGGTAGGCAGATGCGCGACTTAGGGTAGGTGGGTGCGAGACTTAGGGTAGGTGGGTGCGCGACTTAGGGTAGGCAGATGCGCGACTTAGGGTAGGTGGGTGCGCGACTTAGGTAGGTGGTTCGAGACTTAGGGTTAGGCAGATGCGGCGACTTAGGTAGGGGTTGCGCGACGTAGGGTAGGGGGTGGCGAGACTTAAGGTAGCGTGGTGCGCCGACTTAGGGTCAGGCAGGATGCGCTGACTTGGGTAGTGTGGCTGCGCCGGTACTTAGGTTGTCAGGTGGGTGCGAGACTTAGGGTAGGTGGGTGCGCGACTTAGGGTAGGCAGATGCGCGACTTAGTAGGTGGGTTGCGCGACTTAGGAGTGGGCGCGGCCGAGCTTAGGGTAGGTTGGGTGCGAGAAGCTTTATGTAGCCGAATGCGCGTACTTTAGGTAAGGTGGGTGCCGCGACTTAGGGAGGTGGTGCGCGACTCAGGTGTAGGTGGGTGCGCGACTTAGTGGTTAGGCAGATGCGCGACTTAGGCGTATGTGGCGCGCGACCTTAGCCGTTACGCAGATGCGCGACTAGGTATGGTGGGTGCGCGACTTAGGGTAGGTGGGTGCGAGACTTAGGTAGGTGGGTGCCGACTTAGGGGGTAGGGTGGGTGCGCGACTTAGGGTAGTTCAGATTGCCGGACTTAGGGTAGGTGGTGCGCGATCTTAAGGAGGTGGTCTGCGCTCGACTATAGGGGTAGGTGGGATCGCGACTTTTAGGGTAGTGTGCGCGACTCTAGGGTAGAGGTCGGTGCGCGACTTAGGGTTAGGGGGCAGAGTGCGCGACTTAGGGTAGGTCGGTGGCGGCGACGTAGGGGGTAGGTGTGTGCGGAGCTTAAGGTAGGTGGCGTGCGCGACTTTAGGGTAGGCAGATGACGCGGACTTAGGGTGAGGTGGGTTGGCGCGGACTTAGGGTAGGTGGGCGCGGCCGACTTACGGGCTAAGGTGTGGTGCGAGACTTTAGGGTAGCAGATGCGCGCACTTAGGGTAGGTTGGGTGCGCGACTAGGGTAGGTTGGTGTGCGCGACTTTAGGTAGGTGGTGCGCGAACTTAGCGGGTAGGCAGATGCGTTGCGACTTAGGTAGCTGGGCGTCTGCGACTTAGTTAGTGCAGACCGTCGCGACTTAGGAGTAGGTGGGTTGCGCGACTTAGGGTAAAGTTGAGGCGAGACTATAAGTAAGGGTGGTGCTGCGACTTAGGGTAGGTGGGTGCGCGACTTAGGGTAGGCAGAAATTCGCCGACTGTAGGGTAGGGGGTGCTGCGACTTACAGGTAAGGTGGTGCGTCGTACTTAGGGTAGGTGGGTGGCGCGGACTTAGGTAGGGTTGGTGCGGCGACCTTAGTCAGGTTTGGTAGCGCGACTTAGGTAGTGGGTGCGCCGACTAGGGTAGGTGGGTGCGCGACTTAGGGTAGGTGGGTGCGAGACTTTAGGGTAGGTGGGTGCGCGACTTAGGGTACGGTGGTGCGCTGACTTAGGGTAAGGTGGGTGTGCGACTTAGGTAGGCAGAGTGCGTACTGAGGGTAGGTGGTGCGGCGACTAGGATAGTGGGTGCGAGACTTAAGTAGGTGGGTGCGCGCGACTTAGGTAGGCAGATGCGCGACTAGGGTAGGTGGTTCGCGACTAAGGGTAGGTGGGATGCGCGACTTAACGGTAGGCAGATTCGCCCGACTCGGTAGGTGGGTGCGCGATCTTAGGTAGGTGGTGCGGCGACTTTAGGGTAGCAGAATGCGAGACTTAGGTAATGCTGGCTGCGAAGACTTAGGATGGTGGTGCGCGACTTCAGGTAGGTGGGATGCGGCCTGACTAGGGTAGTGGGTGCGCCGACTTCGGGGTAGGTGGGTGCGCGACTTAGGGTAGGTGGGTGCGCGACTTAGGGTAGGTGGGTGCGCGACTTAGGGTAGGCAGACCGACTTAGGTAAGGGGTGCGCGACTTCAGGGTAGGGGGTGCGCCGACTTAGGGTAGGCAGATGCCGCTGACTTAGGTAGGTGGGTGCGCTATCTTAGGGGTAGGTGGGTGCGCGACTTAGGTGGTGTGCGACGACCTTAGTGGTCGTGGTGCGAGACTTAAGGTAGGGGGTAGCGAGACTTAAGGGTAGTGGGAGTGCGACTCTAGGACAAACCCAGCAGGCGCAGACCGGCGCGACCAATTGACGATTCCCACAGCTAGACCTGCCTATGAAAACTGAGGACCTAAAATTTTGGAAAATACTCTTTTGGAAGACTCTCGTTTAGAATTGGAGAAAAAGCTACTGGCAAACGTCGCGCGGGGCGGGGGGGGGGTTTGTCGAAAGAATTTTCGAGTTCACGCAAGAAAATGAAGTGAAGAACCCTGTATGCGAGAAATAGCAGCTTGGGTATTTGCTTTCCGATCCAGCTTGCATCCCTATGGGCGGAAGGAGAAAGACAAAAGAGAAAGATGAGAAGATGAAAGAAGCGAAGACGAGAAGGAAGAGAGAATAAAAGAGCGCGAATCTTTCTGCCTGGCGCATCTGAATGATCCGATCAATGCGTTCACCAATTCTCTCTCCGGGGTTCCAGGTTCCGGATCCGATTCCGCTAACGCTGTTCGCGAACGCATCCTGATGTCTCTGGACCATTCCGGAGCGTCGACGAGGCGAGCACGCGGGGGTGCCTGCAGGACCTCATGGACGGATACTTCCCGATGGAACTCCAGGCCGCATATCCCGATGGCGTGCCGATCAAGGTGAGGTGATCCTGATCCTTAATCACAATCCAAATGTGTGTCCATGATCGCTATTATCACTATAATGCCTAATCTGTATATCCTGATCTCTGATCGCAACTTGATCTCTAATCCGATGATCCTATATCGCTGAAGTACCTGATCCCTAATCCTGATCTTGATTCTGATCCTGATCCTGATCATAATCCTGATCATAATCCTGATCCTGATCCTAATCCTGATCCTAATCCTGATCCTAATCCTGATCCTAATCCTGATCCTGATCATAATCCTGATCCTGATCCTGATCCTGATCCTAATCCTGATCCTAATTCTGATCCTAATCCTGATCCTAATCCTGATCCTGATCATAATCCTGATCATAATACTGATCCACGCACGCACGCACGCACGCACGCACGCACATGTACAAAGGTAGTGGGTCGTGGCTTCATACTCTCCCGTGTGTGTCGGGTTGCGTATGCGATGGAATAGAAAGGAGAGATGAATCTAAGGATTATTGCAGCGTAGCATCATAGGATTGTTGCGAACGTGTGATGTTCCTTACTAGGTGACCGACAGACGCCACACGGTGTTCAAGGAGCGACAGCGGAACGCTGCCTTTCCCGGCGAGGGACAGGTGCTGTCCCCTGTGAAACCTCCAAAATGGACTCCACTAGAATGCGTGGGGGAAACAAGCGAACTGCCGAGTAAGTCGCCAAACGAAAACTCGTGTAATATATACGATCGTACTTGTAGTTAAAGGGATACTAGACTTTAGGATTTTACTGCATACAACTGTACTTACTGTATAACAAATCGTCTATACCCACACGTATTTGTTACCAGATACCTAATTTAATTGTTATAATTAATTATACATCAACACTACGAAATTGGAACGGCGCCATTAACACCCGCGACCGTGCTGCCACCCTGAAAAAGTTGCGCATTCCCAATACCAATACATATATATATATTATTATATTCCCAATTATCTACTTCTGATATTATATATATATATATATATATATACACATATATAATACATGGAAAATCGTAATGAAATTCACACAACGTTTATTTATACGTGCCGGTACACTCGTGTGTCATTCCGAGTTGCAGCTTTTTCTTCAATTCCAGGAAATAGTTTTGCTGTCGCTCGATCTCTCATACCAGCGGTGCCCACCCACTACATATTTAATAATGAACATGCCCCTTGCGGCTGAAACAATCGTGCACTCCTCCGGCCCCCACCCGTACTTCAATCAATGCCGCCCCAGCCAGCAGGCACGTACGCAGCCACGCCGTGCACAGCCACAGACGTGGGTAACACGTGTTGTGGGCAGCTTTTTTTTGGCGATGTTCGAAAATATAACGTAAGGATGTTGTGCGATAGCGCCCTTGCTCAAAGGATGTTATTACATAACTAGAAATCTTTCAGTTGTCCGATCAGGCAACTAGCCAAGAGAATAACTTGTACGACATAGACTTTCGCTTGTCCCGGGCAATCAGACAACCGTTAGTGTCGAGGGCTGTTAACACTGGGTTTCAACCTTGGGATGTGTTGTCCAACATGTTGACTTGACTTTAATCGACTTAACTTAACTTAACACTGGGTTTTACCCTCGGGATATGTGCTCTTGCAGGACCTAGGCTCACGGCCGAGCAGTTCTGTGACAGGCTGCCACGCACGGTCGTCAAGGACGGCAAGGTCATTGACATACGGTCGGCCATCTTGGAGCAGGTGAGACCGAACGCGGCGGACGGGAGGTTCACCGTCGTCGAGACGCCCATCGTCACGGAGATGAAACAACGGTACGCGCACGCTCGCTGACGTCGTCACCGCACGAACCTGGCGGCTGCCCACCTGCCCTGTCGTCTGCTTGCTTGCACATCTGTCTGCCCCACTTACAACTCATCTGCCCGCCTGTCGGTTCGCCTGCTGGACATATCATATCCCTGCAGGATTGCACCACACGCACCGTGAGGCCGCCAGTGTAAAGATGTTTTATAATAGAAGTAGGAATGGTAGTGTTGTTAGCGGTAGTGCTAGTGGTAGTGGTAGTGGTAGTGGTAGTGGTAGTGGTAGTGGTAGTGGTAGTGGTAGTGGTAGTGGTAGTGGTAATGGTAGTGGTAGTGGTAATGGTAGCGGTAGTGGTAATAGTAGTGGTAGTAGTAGTGGTAGTGGTAGTGGTAGTGGTAGTGGTAGTGGTAGTGGTAGTGGTAGTGGTAATAATACTGGGAGTCCTAGTGGTAGTACTAATGGTAGTGGAAATGTTAGTGGTCCTGTTAGCGTGAGTGGATGTACGTGGTAATGGTAGTGGTATTTGTCGTGGTAGTGGTAATAGCAGTAAAATGTGTAATTTTTAAGCATGGAGCATGACATTACTCAAACATTGTGACATTAAAGATATAATCATTGATCCTTGACAATTGCATCGAACAGAAGTCTAGCTATAATCAAGTGTTGCAACGTAATGGAAAGCCATTACAGAAAACTGCTGCAGCAAACATTCAAGAATATACACGGGATCACGTTAGCATATATCACCTTCCAGAAAGTTGGTGACGTTTATCGTTATGTTTGTCAGGGTGACGTCGGCCGGTGGCGGGAGCAGGACGGCGGGCAGTGCCGGGCAGCCGCTGACCACGCTGCGAGTGAGGTCGGAGCGAGGCAACGAGACGTACATCGTCAAGATGTTCCCCGGTGACACCGTGGGACAGCTGCGACGCCACCTCGACGCACAGAGGTACGAACGCACGCTGGTGGCGGGGGGAGGGGGGTCGCACGGTGACG